AATTGCACTGAGGTCTTCCAGGGACCAACATTTGGGTATCACCAGCTGGAGCTGCCCCCAGGAGTCCAACTGTGCCAGTGCTTGCTCCAGCTTCTCCTTGTGGGCTGGTTTTGCACCCTATGACACCTTGGCTGCAGCTCAATGGAATCCTTCCATGTGAAGCCCTGGCACAGGGTGTCCAGGGAAGCTGTGGGAACCCTGTGGCTGCCCCTGGATCCCTGGAAGTGCCCAAGGCCAGGCTGGATGGGAGTTGGAGCAACCTGGGACAGTGGAAGGTGTCCCTGCCCATGGCTGGGGTGGCACTGGATGAGCTTTGAGGTCCCTTCCAACCCAAACCATTCTGGGATCCTCTGATTCAGTCTCAGTGCCAATCTATCAAACCTGATCTGGAATGTTTTGGCTTCCATTCAGCTCAAAAATTTGGCTTAGATTAAAAAGTTCTGGGCAGGTAGAAGTGGCAAAATAGTGCAGGATTATGTCCCAAATGTTAAAAATTATTTTTAATGTCATTGTGCAGTCAGGTGGCTGTTGAGGACACCAGAATGTAACATGTCCAGGAGTTACAAGGACAGTTCAGGTCCCACAGCTCCCTAATCTCTAGGCATGAGCTGCTTCTTTACAGCGCCTTTCTCCTTAGACGCATCCTTAGGGATTCCTTCGGACTTCAATCAACGTTTTGTTGGTGGTGTTGCACTTTGTAACAAACCCATGTTTGTGGGAGACCCGCATTTGACTTTAAAGGTGGCACTTGGAGCCTTCAAGTTGCTCTGATACCTTTGAAAATTGTCTCTGTCAACAGAGGGTGACAGATCCTTGCAAAGGAATGTGTGAGGTGAGAACACAGAAAGTAAAAGAGACATTTCTGTTGCCTAGCACTGATAAAGATCCATTCACAGGGTTTGTCACATTATTTGCCCTATTTGAGGATGTTTGGGGCCAGAGAGTCCAGCTCACCTGGATTTATTTAAAAAAATAAAAAAAATCCCTGGAGAAAAGGGCCGCTATCACAACCGGGGCGAATCTGTAAGGAAGAGAGCAGCAAAGTGTATTTGCATAACAATTCCAATCAGTATCAATCACCGCCCAGAGAGGGCTGCCAGCGCCTCGCAAACACGTCCCGGGTGACAGATGAGCTGGTCCGGGCAGGAGCGCTCTGCAGTCCGGGAATGTCAGCACTGGCTCCAGGACAGCGCATCCTTCAGAGGGATCCCTCCACCCAGCCATCCCCCGGGATCACTTCCCAGGGAACGGGGGCTGGCAAAGAGCTGGATGTGGATTGCTGATTGCCTTTCATCCTTTTGATCCGGAGTTCTTTTCCTTTTGTTCTTTCTGGTTTTGAGCGCCTGGGGGAGATTTTCTCCATCGGCTCTAAATCCAACACCAAACCAGGTCCAGTTTACTTTTCAGGTTGCAAATCCAAAATGAAAACTGCAGCTGATCCAGCTCAAGCCCTCTCCAGTCAGTGATATCACTGGAGCAGGTACTATCCCACTTGATCCTGCCGTGGGAAGTGCTCTCCTCCCTGCTCACCAATTGTGCCGCAGATTATCACAGTGAACACCACGCTGGGAGTCTGGGCACCGGCTTGGACAGGAAGAACCTGGGAGAAGTGGTGGGAGTGGGAGAAGGGACTCAGCTCTTGCAAACATCTCTGAGAAATAAGATTTTAGTTCCAGGCAGAAGGTCAGTGGTGTCCAGGAGTGCATTTAAATGGACAAAACTTGTGGAGACAGCCACGTGTTGGACCCCCCTGAGGTCAGGGCAGGGCTCAGTGTTCCATGTCCAGGCTCCCAACTCGGTGTTCAAACATCTCCTGGGAGGGACATCTGATGGGGCAAGGACAGCAGCTCTGAGCAGGGGCTGCCAGTGATCTTCTGCAGACACTGTTGGGAAGTCAGCCAAGCTTTTGGCTGGAGCTAGTCATGGCTGAGCAGACAGTAGAGACTTGTCACCAGCTTGAAACACCAGCTGGTAGCACTGGAGTTGTCTCAGGACTGTGGGTCTCTGCCAAGATGGATCTTTCCCCTTTCCTCTTTCCTCCAAAAGAGGTGAGAGCCTCCTAATGTGGGCCTGCGGGAATTCTTGGAGCAGTGGCTCTCTGCCATTACAGCCCCACACTCAGGGCAGGGGGTTTGATAGGTCAGCACCAAGACCCAGCCAGAGAATCCCAGCATGGTTTGGGTTGGGAGGGACCTTAAAGCTCATCCCATTCCACCCTCTGCCATGGGCAGGGACACCTCCCACTGTCCCAGGTTGCTCCAAGCCCTGTCCAGCCTGGCCTTGGGAACTTCCAGAGATCCAGGGCCAACCACAGCTTCTCTGGACAACACGTGCTAGGGCCACATCACCCTCACAGGGAAGGATTTCTTCCTAATCTCTAATCATGCATGACATGCCCTCTCAGTTTAAAGCCACCACCCCTCGTCCTGTCACTCCATGTCCTTGTCACAAATCCTTCTCCAGCTCTCCTGGAGCCCCTTTAGTCCCTGACACACGGATACACGGGGGCAATACAACACATGAAGCCAAACAACAACTGCCTTTGGGGATCCCACTCAGTGGCAGGAACAGAGACAGAGCTGCCACGGGTGGTTAGGGACCTTTGTCCATGAATTAAAATACACTGAAGGTGTCCCTTCATAGCTCCTAAATCAGGGACTTGGCTGCAAGGCTGGGTCTATCTCACCTAACTCAGGAAGGGACTGGATGCATCTGGAAGTGCAGGTTTCCCATCACTGATTAATACAGATGCCTGCCTTCCAGGGAGATGTGTAAATTCAGAGACTTCTGCCCTCAGAGACTTAACAAATTCTTGCTGATTTGGATACATTTTATGACTTCTTTCACAGGCTTTACAGGCAGCCCAGTAAAAATTGGTAATTCATATACAAATCACTTCTTTATATTATTTCTGAGTACAGTATCCTTAAGCAAGGAAATGTGCTCTGGGCTGATCCCCAGCATGGGCAGCAGGAAAGGGATTGGGATTCTGCCCCTGTGCCCCTGTGCTCAGGTGAGACCCCACCTGCAGAGCTGCCCCAGCCCTGGGGCCCAGCACAGGGAGGACGTGGAGCTGCTGGAGAGAGTCCAGAGGGGGCACCAGGATGAGCAGAGGGATGGAGCAGCTCTGCTGGGAGGAAAGGCTGGGAGAGTTGGGATTGTTCAGCCTGGAGAGAAGCTTTGGGGTGAGCTCAGTGTGGCCTTGCAGTGACTGGAAGGGTGACCAGACAGCTCAAGAAACAGAGATTTTGGACAAAGGCCAAGGGAGAATGGATTCCCACTGCCAGAGGGCAGGGTTAGATGGGACTTTGGGAAGAAAGTCTTTCCTGTGAGGGTGCTGAGGCCCTGGCACAGGTTGTCCAGAGAAGCTGTGGCTGCCCCTGGATCCCTGCAAGTGTCCAAGGCTGGGTTGGATGGGGCTTGGAGCAGCCTGAGGTGGTGGCCGCTGTGTGGCAATCCTGGTGCCATGGGGCAGTCCCAGACATGGATTCTCTCTCTCAGCAAGGACTTCTACACTCAGCCCCAGGCTCTGGGGTCTTTTCCCAGAGATTCCCTTTGTGGCTGTGTCCCTCTGTTCCCCTCAGTGGAGCCGTGTCACGTTCTGCCAGCGGAGGCTGCAGAGGGCAGCGCTGAAACCTCAGCTTCTCCCAGCTCATCCCCAACAATATCCCTGCCTGGGAGAGGATGGGGAGCCTTGCATTTGGCAGGAATGACTGAGGTGAACCCGAGGATCCCTGGTTTTGTGCACATCTGCCCCTCCTCTGCCTGGCTCTGCAGCAGAGGGGAGGATCAGGATCCACATGGGGAAATTCGGCACAGAATAAGCCCAAACATTTCCCTCCATTGTTTGGGAAGCCCGTGAGAGTTTCACCCTGCCTTAAAATGGGTTTGACTTTTTTTTTTTTCCCCTAGGAAATCCCCAAGGAACACAGCACTGGGGAAAAGTTTTTTCCAAGCATCCCATTAATTTTTTTTCCCTTTGGTTTTCAGTGAGCTGATATCTTGTGCTTTTGTGGCAGGAAAAATAGGAGCTGCAATGCACTGTTCAGGGCAGTCCTGCTGCCTGTGGAGTCCCTGAAATGGATCTGCTTATTCATCCCTTTGGAATCCAGGAGGAGGCCCTTTCTCCAGGGTGAAATATGTTCAGTTTTGTTGATCTAGACAGAAAAAGGAAAAAAAAAGTCTTGAAGCAGAGCTGATACCTTTCTTTGTGTACTCCTTTTCCTTGTATATTCCTTTTTCCTTGTGAATTAAAGACCAGCCCATAGACTTAGTCACCTTCTAAGCTGACATTTGAATTGAGTGATATGAGCACCAAGAAATTCTCATCACTTTGATCAGATGCTTGAATTCTACATTTTTATTCTTTTAATACAAAGATTTTAGAAACAGCCAGGGAACTTGTTCTGGGGAATACAAAAGTGTTAATATTCATAGAATCTCTTGAGCTGGAAGGGACCCACAGGGATCATCCAGTCCAGCTCCTGGCCCTGCACAGACACCCCAACAATCCCACCCTGGGCATTCCAGAGAGCAGTGTCCAAATGTTCCTGGAGCTGTGGCAGCCTCAGGGCTGTGCCCATTCCCTGGGGAGCCTGGGCAGTGCCCCAGCACCCTCTGGGAGAAGAGCCTTTCCCTGATATCCAACCTAAACCCTCCTGGCACAGCTCTAGCTGCTCCCTGGGTCCTGTCCCTGGTCCCAGAGCAGAGGTTGGAGCAGCCCTTTGGGAGGAAGTTGTGGGTTGGGATGAATTCTGCAGCCAGTCTCCTGTTCTCCAGCTGAACAGATCAAGTGGCCTCAGTTGTTCCTTGTTGTGCTCCCACCCCAGACCCTTCCCCATCCTTGTATCCCTCCTTTGGATGCTTTAGATCCTTTCCTTATCGTGGTGCCCCAAAACTGCCCCAGGATTGTTACAAGGGGTTGTTTCATTGTGGTCCTGAACAAGATTTCCTCCCCTTTCAGCCAGCACTCAGATGGAAATTCTATTAAAAATCTATAACCATTGACCAAAATAACCATTATGCTTAAATCAGTAATCTCAGAATATCTCACCCGGCAGATCTTTATTATATCACACGCTTAACCTGACTTAATGTATTATATAGCACCCATTAGTGGAATAGATTAACTTCAGATGTTCCCTTTTCCACATTAATAATGCAATCAGGAATTTATGCCAGACACTTTCTGCTCTAAACTGCGCAAGGAAGATCTGAAGAAATACGAAAAAAAACCCAAAAAAAAACCTCGTGTGCATCTATCGAATAAGAAATGCTTGATTTTGTAGCATTTTGTGGGAATCAAAGGGCTGGAAAACAAACTGTTTGAGTTGTGGAACAACTGCCATGAAGGCAGAGCAGAGCGGCTGGTCAAGGTTAAGACTCTTTTATCGTAATGAAAGATCTGTTCCTGTGAGCTTGCCATGGGCAATGTGTTTGTTCATTATGTGCGAAGCCGGGGAAGGCCGGGATCGTTTCATTTGCTGTCTTTTAACTGCTGGTGCTTTTGCAAACGAGCTGATAGGTAATTATAATACACTCACCACTTAGGCATCTTTATTAGCCTTTGGCAGCACGGCCTTTGTGTGACTGGGGAGGCTTTGAGTGCGGTGGCCTCAGCAAATCCTTTAGAGCTCAGGCAGGAACTATTTGGCAGCCACTCTCTGCTGCTGCTTCCCTGGCTGTCGCTTCTAGGTGGGTTTGTTTTCCCGTCAAAGGAGAGAAAGGAAGGCAATGAGAACAATTCACAATAATCTGGATGCAAATATCCAGCATTGACAGGAGGTCTCTTCTCAAAATCAGCTCACACAGGTGAAAAACAAAGCCTCAAAATCACCGGCCGAGGTGTGGAATCATTTCCAGCACAAAGAAAGCTCAATTAGTTCGTGTGTGTTCCAGGAGAAGAGAGAAAAGGCTGGATTTGTCACGAAAATAATTTACTGGGAATTATTCAACTGTATCTTGCTCCGGGCACCGGCAAGGCAGGAAATTTTCCCTGGAAATCAATAATCAAAAACGGGAATTAGGGAAAAAATTCTGATACCTCAGAAATACAAGGGTTTATCTGAGAACAGGTAAAATGCAGCAGCATCACCCAAGGCATCACCTGGGCAGGAAGTCTGCTGCCTTCAGCTTGATGCATCCTTGGTTATCCATATTCTTCCATATCCTTCTCATGCTGAAATCACGATATTCCACTTTTCCACCCTCTGTCCATCAGTCGGAAAGGGGTGGATCTTTCCCATTTCCAAAGGGAATTGTAGAGTTAGAGAATACCCAGAGCTGGGAGGGACCCTAGATCGAGGAGGATGAAGAGCCCAGCCCTTGCCAGGACACCCCGCTGGTCCCACACAATCCCGCAGCTCTCCGGAGCTCTCCTGGGATGGACCTGCCCTGGCGGGATTTTGCCCAGGACTTTGGCCTTGTTTTGATTCTCCAGGCACCTCCCCGAAGTAAATAAATGGTAATCAAGGAGTAATGGGAGTGCTGAGCTGGCAGCTCCGGTCATTAGAGGTGCAGAGCTGGCTCCATTCATCGGCGCTGCCGTGCTCCAGGGATTTACACATCCACATTAAGGGGCTCCTGAAGAAACAGCTGCTGGAGGAACTCCTGGCTCTGCCCGTCAGGCCCATCCTGATGGGCTGTGGACTCCCACCCTGACCCTGCTGCCTCTCCACCCTGCCCCTGGGATGCTGATCGAACCTGATGAATCCATTGGAGGTGGGTAAAGAAAATGCAGGATTTGGGACCCTTTCCTTGCCAAGGCCGAACTCTTTCCCCCCTGAGACTGCAGATCCAAAGAGCTCCTGCACATCTGTGCATTTCTCTTCATCCCCTCCAGTCACAGGAATGGAATAACCACAAGCAGGGCAGGTTTCACACACAGTGTGGGTGACTTTCCTTCTCATGGCTCATAGCTCCAGCCTCTGCAGCCTCAGCCCTTGGAGCTGGACCTCCACTTCCCTCTCACCATCACCCTGAGCTGGAAGCAGTAAGAAAAGGATTGCTCTGGCAGGGAGAAACCCCTGCCCCATCCTCCAAAACCAGTCCTCAGACAGGAGTGCAGGAGCTCGAGGGGGCCCTGTGCTCCCTGATGGAGCAGGCTGGGGCTGGAGCTGCGGGAGCTGCTGCCAGTCAGTGCATGATGAGCTGCAGAGCTGCCTGTCAGAGCTGTGCCTGCTCACAGAGCACTGACCTCCCTTCCCTGCCTTCCTCGCCCCGCTGGGCAGCACTGGGATGCAGGTGACCGAGGTGGCTGCTGTCAGTGGTGCCAGGAATCCCTGTGGCAGCGCCAGGAGAATCCAGGCATCAGGAGCTGGCACAGCCAGAGCCCGTGTGGGGACTGGGGATGGGCTCTGAGGTTCTGCTCTGCTTCTCGTGCCCACCCAGCACATGGAAACAGCTGGAGAGCTGCCCTGGGATGGGAGTCAGTACCAGACCCCTGGCAGAGCTAATCCAGCAGGCAGGGAAGCTGAGGACTTGTCCCATGGCCTGAAGGGGCCACCCATCCCCTCTTGTGGCTCCAAGCACGCTCAGCCCCAAGCAAGGAGGGTGTGGGGAGACTCGGGGGGTCTGTGCTCTCTTTCCTAAGCAGAAATAAAAAGGGAGGAAAGAAACATGGAGACAAATCCCTCTCCTGTTGCATTTCCAGCTCAGTGCAGCCCACGAACATCTGCCTGTGAATGGGATGGCTGGAGTCACTGGCTGCCTCCAACACCTCCTGGCAGCTCTGCCCCCACCACAGCTCTGGTTTTATTTCCAGGCCTCACCAGATATAACCTCTCCAGCAGCACAGGAGAAGCTTAAAAACTAATTCTACCGAGTGGGAAATAAAGCTGTTGCTTTCCTATATCTGGTGGGGTCTCGGGGGAGCAGGGAGCAGGCAGGAGCCCCAGCTGGGATATCTGGAGCTGCCACCAGCAGCAGGACAGGGACCCTGGGCCCGTGTTGGCCACAGAGCATCGGGAGAACGGCAGCCACTGCACAACAGCAGCTCCCTGACCTCAATTTTCTCTGTGGAGAAAAGAGCAGGTCAAGTGGAAAGTGCTTAAGGAGGAAATTTGTTTCCTTCCAGCCAGGGAGTCGGGAAGATAGGCGGCTATTGCGTGTGCTGGAATAAACCAAATTAATTTTGTGCTGTGCGCTGGCTCCAGGAGCTGAGGGCAAGGCGGGGAAGATAATGGACTTTGATGTTTTACTTGAACTCAACAAAACACCTGGCAAGAAGCGGGGACTCGCTACAACAGCAGTTCCAAACGCTCCTAGCCCAGGCAACTGCTTCCTTTTGTTTTCTTTCTTTCCAATCTAATCCCGAGCATTAACCGGGCTGGTTCATATTTCCAGTGGAATAAAAGGTGCATTGTGAAAAGGAGAGGGAAACAAGAGGCTTTAACAAGTTCCTTTGCTTCCCTCAAGAGCCTTGTGGTGTCCATCTCGCTCCAGGTGAGACCCCCGTGGTGAGGAGGGGGATGAGGGGTGGTGGCACTGGGTGTCAGGAGGATCAGGACCTCCAAGAGAGGGATTAGAGCCGTGTCTTTCCGACAGATTTCTTCCAAACTGCTTCATCTTCCTGCTGCTGCAACAGGGGCAGGATGGTCCCTGAATCCTGAGCACTGATATCCTGTTAAAAAATGTCACTGTCAACATCAGCTTCCTCTGCTGCCTCATTTTCTGCCTCCCTGTCAAGCCTGGCAGCTCTGCATCAGACCCCAGTTCCCTGAACCACCCTCAGCATGGATTTATTTTATTTTGGGGGGGTCTAGAAACACCTGCCAAATCCTCCTTGCTTCTCTTTCCCTGTTTTAGGACAGGAACAGGCACAAAACTCTTCCAAGTCTTCCCATAAACACAACTTTCAAGTCAGGCTGGAACAAAAGTGACAGCGCTCTCCTAATGCCAGCTGCTAAAAATACATTCTGTGCTTGATAATTGAATGTGAGATGAAAAGTGAGTTTTAAGCAGAAGTAAGAGCTGCCTATTTCTGGCAAATTCCCAACTCCCCCAGTCCCCTGTGGAATGTCAGTGCATATCAATATCGTCTGCCCGGAAAATTTACATTTTGGGGAACTGGCAGGTGCTGCTGAGTAGGGTTTTGGATTTAACTGGAAGTGATTTTGGGCTGCCAGGTACAAAATACCTTCCCTGTGGAGGTAGGGGAGATCTGGCCCCAGAACCCCTCCCTGCCCTGCCTGTACCTGCTGCAGCCGATGGCAGAACCCCCTGGGCCACTTTCCACTAGAGCAGCTGCCCAGAGCTTTTTTCCCTCCTTGGCATGGGTTTGCCCCTCATCCCCAGGCAGGGAGCCGTGGGCAGGGAGCTCCTGGGGCAGGATGTTCCTTTGGGATGTGTTCCATTGGCAGGGGCTGCCCAGGGAGGTTTGGAGTCCCCATCTCTGGAGCTGTCCAAGGAACCTGGATGTGGCACCCAGCACTCTGGGCTGGTGACAAGGTGGGGATGGAGCAAAAATTGGATTTGATGACCGTGGAGGTCTTTCTAAATTATTCTACTCCATTTCCAAATTCCTGAGCAAGGGCATTCCTCCATTTTTGATTGCCAAACCTAGGCATTCCAGAACATTCAGATAAATTGGTGGCTATATAAGAAGGGCTTTCAGGATGCTTTGAAGAAAACTTCCAGGATGACTTCCCATTGTTATTTACACATCTGCAGATCAATAAAATGTGTTATTCTGGTAAAACTTTTATTTACCCCTACCTGGTTTTGCTCAGTTCACTGCCTCATTCCAATGCACGGATACACCTGTGTGGTTGGAATTGGGAAGGGGGAGCTCATTGGCTTTATCTTTCTTCCCACATCGGGGTTTTGCAGCCAGCCAATGAAATGCAGTCCCACAAATGCTCTGGATTAGGTAATGCTTTAAATTTGCATTTTTTCTGCCAAAAATAGGGGCTTTTCTTCATTTTTCCCTCACATCACTGGTTGGAATGTGATGAAATGCCAAAGGAGAAGCTGGTCCTGAGACCAAAGCAAGCAGGGTTGAGTGTCCCAGGAGTCCCACGGGGGTGGGTGGCAGGGAAGGGTGACAGGGTACCCCACCATGAGCCTCCTGGGGACAGTTCCCATTCCTTCTTGATGCCTGCAGGGCCTGTGGAGGTGTTGAGAGGAACTCACCTGTGATTCAGGGAAAGACCATTTATTCACTGTCCTGTATTATGGAGCTTTTAGGGTCTGGAGTCCAGGAGAGGGATTTGTGTACTGATCCCAACCCTGTGCTGGGCAGCAGGAAAGGGATTGGGATGCTGCCCCTGTGCCCCTGTGCTCAGGTGAGACCCCACCTGCAGAGCTGCCCCAGCCCTGGGGCCCAGCACAGGGAGGACGTGGAACTGCTGGAGAGAGTCCAGAGGGGGCACCAGGATGAGCAGAGGGATGGAGCAGCTCTGCTGGGAGGAAAGGCTGGGAGAGTTGGGATTGTTCAGCCTGGAGAGAAGACTCCAGGGAAATCCTGTAGAGGACTTAAAATATGTAAAAGGGCTTTCAAGAAAGATCAAGAGACTTTTTACCAAGACTTGTAGGACCAGGATAAGGGAGAATGGCTTCCCATTGCCAGAGGGCAGGAATAGATGGGATATTGGGAAGGAATCCTTCCCTGGGAGGGTGGCAGGCCCTGGCACAGGGTGTACAGAGAAGCTGTGGGTGCCCCTGGATCCCTGAAAGTATCCAAGATCAGGCTGGACAGGGCTTGGAGCAACCTGGGACAGTGGAAGGTGTCCCTGCCCATGGAAGGGGTGGGACTGGATGGGCTTTAAAGTCCTTTCCAACCCAAACCCTTCTGTGACTCTAAGTCTGTAGTTAATGAGATATCAAGGTCTGATTTAAAGGTGATGGCACTCACTCTCCTAGGTCACTTTTGCACGTGGACATGTCCAGAGCAAGCCATGAGAGATGAGCCTGGTTTGGATGTTGCCCTGCCCTCACCCAGGCTGGAGTCCTTTCCCCTTGTGTGTGTGACTGCAGCAGTGATTTTGGAAGCTGCCATAGGTCTGCCTTCCACACCATAAATCCTTGGAGCAGTTCATCCAGCTGAACCTAAAAGCTGACTGCTTCTCTTTATGGAGATCTCTCATTTTTCATTGCCTTTGCATCAGACCTCGTCAGTCCCACACTCCTGGCAGAGTACAAAGTGCCAGGAAAAATCCCATCTCTTTGGAGCTGACATTAAATTATGGCAAATAAATCTGTCACTTCAAGACAGTGTCTGTGTCCCCTGTTCCAGTGCAGTGGACAGAAGTACTGTCCGAGAAAGGAACTGCTCATCTCATCTCTACTGTTATCCTTAAGCTTTCTGGAATAAAAGTAAATCAGCCTTTCCCTGGGCTTTCTTTCACACTAAATTTTGTTTTACTTGATTTTATCTTAGTGCACAACATGGAATCCCAGCATGGTTTGGGTTGGAAGGGTCTTTAAAGCCCATCCAGTCCCACCCTGCCATGGACAAACCTGTCCTGGAACACTTCCAGGGATCCAGGGGCAGCCACAGCTTCTCTGGGCACCCTGTGCCAGGGCCTCACCACCCTCACAGTAAAGATCTGCCTGAATCCAATTCCATGGGTTTAAAAAACTCCAGCACAATCCTAGAGCCTCCCTGATAAGGCCCAGAGGACATGAAACAATGTGCTGAAGGTAAAAGCAGAGTGAAGGCATCTTCCCAGGCCCTCACCACATGAGCACACATTCCTGGTGGCAGCAATGGCATCAGGAGCTCACCCATCCTTTTCATCTCTCTCTGTAAGTTTTTATCCAGTGCAATCCTCCAAGGACTCCCAGTCTTGTCCCATCAGGAATGTGTGGGATTGTGCTTGTAAACACCCACCCATGGCCTTTCACAAACAGCAATTTGGGCACGCTGGAAGCAGGAGTGGGGTCTGCTTGTGGATGCACAGCCCTCTGTCTCTACACAGAGCCAAGTAATGAGAAAGGAAATGGATCTCTCCCTCTGGAAAGAAATGCCTTGAAAATCTTCTCTGCAGCTGCCTGCACGAGATGTTGGTGTGCATTATTTCCAGAGTTTCTATTCATGGTGGAGCCAGCACAGCAGCCTCCAGCTGATCACAGGGGAGATTTATTCAGGGAGCCTGAAGGTTCAGTAATTATTTAATAAAGAAGAGGAGACTCAGTGCCGGCAGCTCAGGCTCTGAGCTGGGAATCCTGAGCAGAAAGATAAATTGTCTGAGCTAAATAATTCTTCCCTGTGAGGGTGCTGAGGCCCTGGCACAGGTTGCCCAGGGAAGCTGTGGCTGCCCCTGGATCCCTGAAAGTGCCCAAGGCCAGGTTGGACAGGGCTTGGAGCAGCCTGGGACAGAGGGAGGTGTCCCCCCCATGGCAGGGGGTAGGACTGGATGGGCTTTGAATTCCTTCCCAATCCTTAGTATGAAGCAGCATCACACCTCTCCAAGCTGTTGGAAATGAACCATCACCAATCTACTGAAATCTGAGTTCATACTCCCTGTATGGTGAGCAAAACTGGCCTTGGGGGTTGCAGTGGAGTGACTTCCATTGGTTTGGTGGTGCTGGAGAGGCAGATCAGCAATCAGGGAGACAAGTTCCACCAAGGGACGGGAGCATCAGTGCCAGTGTGACAGCAGCAGGTTACAGTGGGAAAGAGCAGAGTGTGATGATGGCACTTCATCCTCGGTTAAAGACACATTTCCCTGCATCTGGGCCTCAGACACAAGCACACTGTAACCAGATCTCTCATCTCCCCAGAGCTGCTGGATTAGGCTGCATGGCTCTGGTGTCACAGCCAGGCTGGAGAAAGGCCCCACGTGTGTCACAATGCCCAGCTCAGCACCCTGGGGTCACTGCTGGGAGTGGATCTCAGTGCTGGGACAGGAAATTCTGGGCTGGGGATTTGGGGGTAACAGCTGGGATGCTCAGCACTGGAACTCCAAAGAAAAGGAGGCTCAGGGGGGACCTTCTCAGTCTCCACAAGTCCCTGACAGGAGGGTGCAGCCAGGGGCGTGGGGCTCTGCTCCCAGAGAACAGGGACAGGATGACAGAAACAGCCTCAAGCTGTGCCAGGGGAGGGTCAGGCTGAATATCAGGGAGAATTTCTTCCCTAAAAAAGTGGTCAGATATTCTGCCCAGAGCAGTGGTGGAGGCAAGCATGGAGCTGACAACACCAAGGTCCCAGAACAGGCCATTCCCTGAAGGGCTGGACTCGATGATCCTGGTGGGTCCCTTCCCAGCCAGAACATTCTCTGAAATCTGTGAAATTCTGTGGATTCTGTGAAGTGTTCAGCAAACTCCTGGGTGTGGCACTTGGGGCCATGGTTCAGTGGAGAACAAAGAAGCGCCAGGGCTCTTGGATCTTGGAGGTCTTTCTCAACATTTGTGTAAAACTGCCTGAACACTCTCTCCCACCTAAACCAGCAGCTCTGGGACTAGGCATGGACACACCAAGGAGTCATTCCCTTCTTGGGAGAAGGGCATATCAGCTGTGGTGATTCCCAGCTGCATCCTGATCCCAGCCCTTGGTCCTGATCCCAGCCCTTGGTCCTGATCCCAGCCCTTCCTATCACAGAGGAATTGCTGGAACCGAGCCTCATGGGGCTGTGTGACCCCTTGGCATTCCCTGTGTTCAGCCCTCTGGGCACAGTTCTGTTTGCTTCCTGCTGTGTTTGGAGTCAAAATCCAAGAATTCTGCTGTAAAAAAATAATTTCCTTCCTTTGTCAGCATCCTCCCCAAATAAACACGTGAGCAAGTGGAATGTGTCTGGGAGCATATTGGAATTTGCTGGGATTTGCTGAGCATTATGCTTCTGCTGGCAATTAGCATAATCTGCTTTCTATCTCCTGTGCAGGAATGATTACTAAGAAATGTGTCTTCTCAAGATTTTTTCAATCCTAAAAAAGCAAGTGGAGCACTGGCATATTCATGGCTCCCGCTGAGTTCCTCACTGTTTAGCTTAGGATAAGGACTATTTCCCTACTGGAGTGGTGTGTGCAAGTCCCATGCAGGAGTCTGGGCTGTGTGCCAGCTCTCTGGAATGACCTGGAGGGGGGGAAGAGCAGATTTTCAGGAACAGCAATCACTGGTTTGTGCAGGTAAAACCGCACTCCCAGCGCTCCCAAGGCTGTGTTTTTCCCTGTGCCTGTGGCATCACAAAAGCCACACTCCTGGGAACAGCTCCTTGGAGAAGGAAGGAGCTACTGCCCACCCCACAACCAGGAATCTCCTTTTGATGCAAATCCTGCTGGTATTCCTTGAGAAAGCCATCACTGCTGGAAAGTAGGGCTGAACAAAACCAGCTTTTTTTGGAGAGTTTCTCCCTCTCCCGCCCCACATCTGTCTCATCCACTGAGGCTGCAAATTCCTTGGAGCCAGTGTTCCTCCTAGGAGGACACAGCCCCTTCCACCATGGTGTTCCGTGTTATTTGCTGCCTCCTGGTGTGCCAGCACAAAAAAATAAACAATGGAGCCTGTTAGGTTTGTTATTCCCCCCCAAATCACCCGTGAGAGCACTCGGGAATTGCCACTCTGGTGTGTGGAGCAGCTGGAAAGTCAAATGCTGAGGAAAGGCTGAGCACAGACACTGGCAGTGCCAGCAGGGGAATCCTGCAGCTGCTCTGGGCAGCTGTGCCAGGGCCTCAGCACCCTCACACACAGCCAAGGATTCCTTCCCAATACCCCACCTAACCCTGTCCTCTGGCAATTTGAAGCCATTCCACTTGATCTGTTCCTCCAGAGCCTTGTCTGAAATCCCTCTCCAGCTCTTTTGGAGCCCCGTCAGGCACTGGAAGGGGCTCTGAGGTCTCCCCAGAGCTTTCTCTTCTCCCAGCTGAAACCTGCTCTGGCAGGACAGAGAAGCTGCTGGACACAAACACCCAGCAGAGCTGGGGGAATCCAGGGGGTCCTGTTTTTCCTCCATGAAGCCAAAGGTCTGTGGAAGAGCCTTGGCCATGGATGCCTGGTCCCTCAGAGCTGATCTCTTGACGTTTGTTACCCGAGCTGGCTGTTTGCAGGGAGCAGGGCCGGGAATTCTCTCTGTTCCCGGGGCTGGGTGAGTGATGCTCTCCAGTCAGTCCCGGTGTGTGCTGGACGTGTTTCACCAGCAGGGAACAAAGGAACGTGCTGCAGCCACACACCTCGGGTGCCCTAAGCAGCCACCTCGCTTGTGACTGGCAGCAGGACACAGGTCCCCGTCCCTGCAGGCAGGTGGGACATTGGTGGGAAGAGCAGGTGGCCAGGCAGGCGCCAGCCGTGCCTGTGATTTGCAGCTCCAGCTGGAAACCCCTACAGAGCGTGGGCCAGGCTTTATAAAATAAAAGCTAATAAGAATCATAACAATTTTGCTTTCTCTCTGTAGCCTGCAGCAAGCCAGGCACAACATGGGAATTGAGGAATAAAGGCCATCAACTTCCTGTGGCTCCCCTCCTACCACCTTCCTCTTCTTGCTCCAAATTGGTCTGAAAACATTGCTTTTCCCTTGCCTATTTCATTTCTGCAATGAAGTCATCAAACAAGATGACAGGGACTTTCCGAGACTCAAATCAATCAGCAAGTTTCTCCTTTGCTTTTTCTACTCAGGCAGGAAATAGGGGAATAAATTTTCCAAGTGTCCAAGGGAAGGGAAAGGGGCAACGGGTGGGTTGGCTCCAGCATGGGGAAGTGTAAGAGAACAGATGAAACTTCTGCACCTTCAGCCCATCAAAAATAAATAACCCCCTACCTTGTGTTTGTTCTGCTGTGAGAAGTTCCAGCAGGTTCTGAGGGTTTTCCACTGTCTCCTGGAAAGTGAAAGAGAAGTCCCAAGCGTATCCCATCCCCTGCCCCGGTTTGGCTTGGAAGGGAGTTGTGGTTTCTCCAGAGGTCTTCTCCCCAACCCTGGATGGATATTTCATTTTCAGTACTAAAAACCATGTTCAAAACATGGAATCACAGAACCATGGAATCTCCTGAGCTGCATCAGACCCACAGGATCATCCAGTCCAGCTCCTGGCCCTGCACAGACACCCCAACAATCCCAGCCTGGGCATCCCTGAGAGCGCTGTCCAAACACCCCTGGAGCTCTGGCAGCCTCAGGGCTGTGCCCATTCCCTGGGGAGCCTGGGCAGTGCCTGAGCACCCTCGGGGGGAAAAACCTTTCCCTGATCTCCAACCTAAATCTCCCCTGGCACAGCTCCAGCCATTCCTGGGTCCTGTCCCTGGTCTTGGAGAGCAGAGATGGGAGTTGCCCCTCCACTCTCCCTCTGCAGGAGTACACTGCAGACAAGAAAAAGCTCTTCCTGCATCCTCCTCATGTATTTTATGGAGATGACTGAAGGTAATGGAAAGAGCTCATCCAGCGAGATCGCCCCCTGCAATTTCTTCTGGGTTTAGGCAGAATAAAACTAATCATAGGGGTTGTCTCAGCTCAGGCCAGGGCTGCTCTAGGAACAGATTGGCACTTCAGATTTACCAGGATACGATGGAATAATGGCTGGGTAGTGGAATTTTCAGCACACAGGGGCAGGAGCAGCCGTTCTCATTTTTTATGATGAATTTTATGCCGGTGCCTTTACTATTCCTCTTCTCTGTTCAGCAGGGACAGCCCTGCATGGGAAGCATGGACTCTGTGACTGCATCCTGTTCCTCCAAAGGCATTGGAATGTGGGCAGAGAACAGTCATTTGCTTGTACATTATGCAAGGAAAGTGCTGACCCAGTAGCAAAAAAAAAAAAAAAAATAAAAAATCCCTGTCAGGAGCCAACAGGTTTTACCGGAAAACCATTGGATTTCAACAAGAAGATTTAGGGTTTGGAATGAAACCTTGACAGTTTGCCCAAAAATTACTTCTTCGTTTTACAGCATTCTCTCAGTTGAAATGTGTGTGTTCTCCTCTTCCAGAAAAAGCAAGGGAATGAAAGGAAAAATGACGACACTGACCGAGCTCCATCAGTGCATTCCTAGTGGCAACTTATTTTAGGGAAGCATTATCTCAGCTTTACTTTAATGAGTATCAATCAGGCTGGTAACTAGCATAGCTTTTTTTGTGAGGCTTTAAGTCCTTTAAAGATGAGGGTGTTTATTAGGGAGCCTTCACTAAGGTTTTATGTCTTGCTTGTAAAGAGGCACAGCTGTGGCCAAAACATTATCTCAAGTGGAACCAAATGTTGGCTCCACTTATTGGTATTTAAAATGGATTCCCAGATAGACAGAGACCTTAATTTGGTCTTTTTGGGGTTGGGGATGCAAGAAGGGCAGTCATGGAATGCCTGGCTGATCCCTCTGGCCTCCATGAGCAATGCAGAACCCTTCAGGACAGGGCCTGGAGACTGGCAGGGGGTTTGCTGGTGGCTGGGACCCTCTGGAAGGCACCACAGGCAATTTGTGGCAGGGATTACAAGAGGGGACAGTATTTGTGAAGAGGGAGGTTTGGAGGGCTGGGAGGCACCAGGAGCACAATTGCAGGGCACACAGGGTTAGGGATTTGCCTTTTCCCCTGGAAGTGCAGGCAGCACGGATCCTTAGGTCTAAGATTTGTGCTGAACCTTTGGGATCGCTTGGAGACCGAGAGCCTTGCTGCTCTTTTTCTGTCCCCTGGGCAGGCTGAGGTTGCTGTCAAGGTCATCAGCTCACCCTGGGTCACAACCATGTGTCCAAGCCCCCATTGGGTTCAGGGTTTTTCCATGGGTGAGCTGTGAGGGTGCCCTGGGATGGGAACAGCTTGGGGCACTCACTCCCCCAGCACTGCAGAGCAGCTCTGGCGTGAGGACAAATCCTGGTGGGACAAGGACACAGCGCCAGCCCCAC